TTCTAGTTCTTACTGGCATCTGGCTATTGCACTATGTTTTAGTTTCATGAAAAGCCAAGCAATAAGAAATGGCACAGCTAGGTTTACGTGAGTAATGGGGATAATGAGAGAAAGCCAAGGGTCTTCCTACTTCTGAATCACTGGCGAGCAGTGATCAACTTGTGCCTTTGCCAACAGCTTTTTGTCTGCTGTTTCTTCTGTTTTTCTGTATAATACAGGAAGAAGGTGCCCAAGAAATGTTTTCTAGGCAAATGTTCTCAGAGTGCCATTTCATGTTTGTTCTCTTATCAGCAAAATATAAATCCAAAGTGTGCTTGGTAACTGTTTCTGACAAATTGATACTGCTATGCAGATAATCTTACCTGGCCATGGGAGGAAATGTTTGTATTATTTTATCTTAGATTTTTTTCTTTTAACCATTTCATATTTATTTTTCAATGTCTGGAAATTATATACTTGTCTACTTCTGAAAAAACCCTGGTTTGAGTAAATTAAAGTTTACAGATTATGCCACATTTAAATAGCTTTCATTCTGGGATGTTAATCTGTTGATCATGTGAAGTGATCTGTTTATTTATTGTGGATAATGCCATTCTTTTGTACTGTTGAACAAGTTTAATGACCCCATACCTAAACCAAAATGCAAGATCTGAACACCCTGCGATTGCTCTAAATGTGAATGCAAACTGAGAAATTAATGTTTGTAAGTGACCTCTCGCTCTGCAAAGAGCTGACACAAAATTCCAAATGTTGTGAATGTTAGGGCATTCAAAATTCAAACCTGGATCTAAATTTTGTGGCTTGAGGCTGCTTCTAAAATTGAGTGTTATTGCTACTATTTTTGAAAGATGAGAGCTGATACCATATGCTAGAACCATACACAGTGTAGGCAGGTGTTATGCAAGATTAGTCAAGCAGTTTGGTTAATCCCCCTTACTAAATCAAACAAACAAAACTGCATTTGAATTTTTAAAAAGAACTTGTGTCCACTCTGCTTGCTTCACCGCAAATATTTGTAGTAAACTAATATTTGAAAATGTAAATAGTGAATTTTGAACTCATATTTGTAATGGTAACCAGATTCTAAAAGTTGCACTCACCAGCTAAAGGAGTAGCAATAATACCTTGTGACCAGTCAAATCTAACCAAGACCTCATGAATTTTGAGTACCCACAATGACCTGCTTACAAATGATACAGACCACAAATTAGTCTCAAATTCCTCACAGGACTGAGTCCTAGTTGACAAGGAGCTGCATGTCTCAAAGATGCAAAGACATGAAAGGAGCGTGAACAATGTTTGTTTTGTTTTAGCTCATATTTTCTAGATATAAACACATACCAAAACCCTAGATCTGGACACTCACATGTCCAGAAATTTTAGGTCCAGACGCAATTTTGCTATCACAGATGTTTATCCAGCAATTATGTTTTACTTCAGGAGGCACTTTAGCAGCAAATATTCTACATGTAAAACTAACTTCCTAATTATAATGGATCTAGTCAGATGAACATGCCTGAGGAGTATACAAAGGATAAAGCTATCGAACATCTGCTTATCTAAATAGAAGGGCAGGAAACTTACAGCAATGATCATCTTTCTAGAAACAGAAGAGTAAGGTTAAAATGGCAGGAAAGTCACTGCAAGAAATGGCTGTAAAAAGATTACATGTCGTTAATATCAGCAGGTATTAGATCCACATAAGAGAGAAAAAACACGTAGGAGAGGAGGAGAAAATAAGGATGAGTGGAATAGTTCAGAAAAAATTGGAGATGAGTCTGAGCCACAAAGCTCTGCTTTGGACCTGGACATCCCTCACCATTCAAGGATGCTCTGATCCAGGGTTTTGCTTTTGGCCCATCTCTAGATAAAAGAAGAACTGACCTGAAAGTTATCCCCAAATTCAAATTGGAACAAACCCAGACCCTTCTGTGCATTTGGATAATGCTCTGAACCCCCCCCCTAAAAGAAACAACAAAACAAAACCCTAGCCCTGCTCTGCATTTCCTGAATTCAGCCTTCTGAAATCCCACACGAGAGTGTGCCTGGGCAAAATAAAGACATGTTTCGTCCAAGAGCTGATCTGACAAGATTTCTAGCCCAGTTTTCAGATCACAGAGATTTGAATAGTTTAAGTTTCAGATTAGCTCTGAACTTTAGGATGATTGTTTAAACTCAACCACTGAACCTTTTAAGCTTTGCCCTTTACTAGCCACTGTCCAAAGAAGCTATTTTCACAAGTACACTCTGTCCAGGAATACTCCCTAAGGAGATGGCATAATGCTACTATGACCCAGGGGCACACCAGGGAAATACACACGGCTTAGTGGCACATCAGATGATGAGAAAGACTTAGACACTTTTAAAGGCTCAAGTGAAGGGAATGTTTGAAAATACACAGCTCAAGAAGGAATGCCAGCAAGATAATTGGAGCTCAGAAGTTTTCATTACTCTACATCAGTGGTTCCCAAACTTGTTCCGCCACTTGTGCAGGGAAAGCCTCTGGCGGGCCGGGCTGGGCCGGGCCGGGCTGGTTTGTGTACCTGCCGCATCTGCAGGTTTGGCCGAGAGCGACCACTGTTCTACATATATCATTATGGGACAGGAATCAGTGCTTAATTTGTGCCAGGGCTGGGCCCTGGTGCCTCTACGCTTGGCAGTGCCTAGCCCCGGCACCCCAGGGCTTGCTGCATCAGTTATGAATGTAAAAAAATTGCTTGAGCTCCGGCACCTCTTTCATTACAAATTAAGCATTGGACAGAAAGAGCAAGGAGTAATTTAACTAGATACTGGAGTATTAATGTTTCAAAGAAGGTCAACAGATTATTTTAAATGTATCTTGAGGGAGAGAATCAAATGGCAAATTATCTGTTCTTTGGAGAATGGTTATTGGATGAAGATGCTAGAGCTTTCAGGCCAATAGACAAGTGTACTAAGGGATTCTAATGAAGACTAGTTTATACTGCTTGAGAGAGATACTATGTACCAAATTTTGCTCAAAGTTACACTGTGCACTTTCCACTGTTATCAGTGTCAACTGACGTCAACTCCGATCACTTTATTGGCAGTACATACTCTATGTTCTGGCGTTTTAAAAAATGAAAGCATGAAACTCCAAACTATCTGAAGCAGATATTTATATTTTGCAGGTGTGACAACTGCTTTTCAGGAGAAGACTCTGAACCCATTTTCAAAAAATCACAGTAGTCCCTTTAAATAAAAAGAGAGGGTGCACAATTCACACATCAGGCAGGCACTAATGATCAGGTATTTGGGGCAGAGGAAGGGGGAATCAAGGGGAAATCTCGCTAGGAAATATTTGCTCTTATTGATACTAATTATTGCAACAAGGTACAAGTTTGAAAGAGCTAACACAGCAAACAGAAAGAACCATGCACAGGTTTCAAGTGTCATGTTTTTAAAATCAAGTCCTTAATACATATTTGCATAATAGATTGGAACAGTAATTGTCACTGTGGCTTTTGTTAGTTTGTTTGTTTTTTAAGGGCATAAATTGAGGGCAGGTAGTTATATCTAACATTAAACAACCTGTCTTTTGTATTTATATCAGAAGCTTAACATTAATTAAACACAGGGCCAAGTTCTTCATAGGATGCATGTGTGTGCCATTCCCATAGAATTCAAGCTTTGGCACCTGCTATTTAATTACATCTTAGTCCGTTGCTGAATGCTGGACCTTAAGAAAAGGCTTCAAAGTAAGCCAAAAAAAGAATCAGGTCCCAAGAAGGGCCCTGTCCTGGTCCCCTTGAAATCAATGGCGAAACTCTCATTGACCAGTTTCATAAGACCAGGATTTTGCTCTGTGTGTGTGTGTGTGTGTGTATATATATATATATACATATATATATACAGATTTGATATGAACATGTAAACCTGTTAAAAGTTCCTAAATAGTTATAAGAAGAAGAAAGTTCTTGGTAATTGTAAACCTCTGCTCTCTTATAAACAGTTCAAGAGCAACTCCCCACCTCCTTTATTATTTTTATTATAATAGTTAAAACCCCAGTGTTGCAACCGGTGGTGCAGCTGCCGCTGAGTGTGTATGGATGCCCACTGAAGTCTTTGGGAGAATCAATGGAAGGATCAGAGTCTCAGATGTTAAAATGCTGAAAAATAGAAACACTGGTGTTTACTAAACATGAATGAAAGGATGCACACAATGATATCAGGGTTATGTTAGTCCAAACATATGAGACTAGAAAAATCACTCCATTTTGTTGTCTTTTAGCTGTATCAGAATGGTGTATATTTTCTTAATGACAGAGCAATTAAATTGTATTAAAAAACTAGTAGGACAGTAAATGCTAAATGAAGCATTTCATGGCAGTAACAATCAGTATATAGAGATAACTGCCAAAGCACCTACCACTCAGTTATTCCAGAGAGAACAATATGAACTAAAGATTTTAGTACAAGGAGAAAAGTGAGGGGGAAGGGAGAGGTTACTACAGAGGACAGAGTTAAAGAGAAATGTTTTTAAAAAGCAGAGATAATCGACTCTAGCATTAAACTCTGAGGTACTAAGATCTTTCTTGACATGCAAATAAAACAAAATTGACACTAGTAAGGCCTCAGAAGAAAATTTGAATGCAAGCAATTTGATAGCACGGCATAATATAGTACAAAATAGATTTTTAACTGTAGCATCCTTAATAGAGAACCTCACAAAAGATTTAGAATGAAATTCACCCTTGTGTGGGGAGCCAACACAGTCTATGCACCACCTACGTCCATCCCACTTCAGCTATCAGTGCATTGTAGGGTTTAAGAGAGACTTAGCCAAATTGGTTGGTGCTCGGCTGAGAGGTGAATTTCACCTTTAAAGAAGTCTCTCCGTTTGTTTGCTTATTGACGATTTCCTCATACTGAGTGAAAACATGATCCTCTTAAAGTAAAAATTAAAACTCCCCTTAACTTCAGTGGACATGGGATTTGGCCCTAACATTTCATTGTTTTGTTCTGTTCTTTTAAATCTGCAGGACACTGTAGCCAAATCTTTCCCCCTCAGCTTGGCACGCTACAGATAATTCATGGCGATGGCACCGCCGTCGGAACGGTGATAACATTCCAGTGCTCCGCTCAGCACCTGCTTGTGGGACAGGGACTCGTAACCTGCATATGGAAGGGAGACAGTACACAGTGGACTGCTGGAGTTCCCTCATGCAAACGTAAGGATTCTTCTTCCAGAATTACTCAACACCTCTTCTGCGTTACCCTCTCCTTGTTTGCCCTGGGTAACCTATGAAGCTTTGGCATGACATGGGGATTAATTCCAGAGTTCTGTGGAAAGAAGAGGGCATGTTGAATTTCATTCATCGCTATTGCCACTGGCTATAATGGCACTCCGGGCACATTCAGACATCATGAATTACTACACTGGAAAGACTTTTAGCCAGATTTGTGCCTGGTCTAATATCAGTGACCTCAGTAGAGTTAGACCAGGGATAAATTTGACTCTATAGCTGCAAAATGTGCTGCTGTTTGTCAGGAAAATGTATAGATATGAGCAATCAGAATGTACCTGTATATTGCATTATTTAATTCCATTGTTTTCAGGAGGAATCATGCTGCAAAGAACATGGAGATATTTGTAAAGTACAATTACCCTGTTGCCTGTGGGTAGTAGAATGGAGCTGCTATCATATTGAAAAATAGGGCTTGAATGGCAACAATATTAGCTGCCTTTCACTCTGTGCTGTTTCTTATTTATTACACGCACAACAATAATTTAACTAGAAATGGGCCCAAAGCAAAACTCTGGATCTCAGTGCCTGTGAACTTCAGTGTGTTTGAAATTCAGAATAGACCTCAAGTTTGAAGCTTGGGACCTTGTCTCACGTTAACATTATAGGTAGATGAATAACTTTGCCATGCACCTGGAATTCCTGCTTCAATTGAGCCATACTTACATCTGATTTAGGAGGCTTCCATTATAGTAAGTAAATTAGAACATTCAGTTTTAAAGATTGTAAAAGTATAAAGCTATCTATGGAATTCAACAGAAACAATTCTAAACCTTGCAGTCAGGGTAGTGTAAGAAGTAGGAGTAGCTTTAACAAGACAATATCAGTGCTCAAACTGGACGGGCATAGGTTGTTATACCCTACCCCTGCTTCTTCATTCCTTTGGATAATTTCTTTCTCACCCCTACAACATCCCCAACGTCCAGCCCTGCACGTTTACTGCTGCTTCCATGATCTGTCCCATTCTCAGTCCTAAGATATCATTGTACAGAACTGTTGTTCCCCTAAGCAGGGCTAATTTAAATCTTTCCTTTCCTTTCCAGTGTTTGTTTTTACAGCTCTAGTCCTTGTTAAAATTTGATTTCAGAAAACCTCCAGTACATCATTTGCATTTGAGATACTGACAAAGTTGTGGTTTTTTTGTTATTGCAATGCTGGCAGCATCGCGTTTGATTAATTGCTCTGGCAAAGTTACTTGTGAACAATTAATTAGTAACTTATAAATAAGAGACTTTTTAATAGTCCACCTTTGAGACATCCTTAGCTTGAAATGAAGCCAAATGTCTCTGAGTGTCTTAGGGCATACTAACGTGAAAATTTTCATTGCATTATTATTAGCAAGAGTGTGAAGCAGGTAGACTTCAGCACAGTTTAATGGAAATGAGAGAGCTAAATTTAATAAGGTGTTCATTTTGGAAACCTGTTTCTATATTTGCTTTGCTGCAGCCATATCGAAATATGAGGCTTTTGGATTTAAAGTAGCAGTGATTGCCTCCATTGTGAGCTGTGCCATCATCCTGCTGATGTCTATGGCTTTTTTGACCTGTTGTCTCATCAAGTGTGTTAAGAAAAATGAAAGGAGGAGAACTGAAAGGTACGTCTCATTCCACAACAAAAGCTTTGTGAAACTGACAAAGATACCCATCAGAGAAGAGCCACGTATCTTACTCACATGGCCCCCATAGTCATAGTATTTGAGAACAACCTCATCTTTTTAAACATATTCATCCTAACAACACCCCTGTAAAGTAGTAGTATCCTTATTTTATAGACGGGGATCTGAGCCACAGAGACTTGCCCAGGGTCACGCAGGAAGTTGTGATGGAGGAATGAGTGGAACCCAAGTCCTAGCCACTGGGCCATATTCCCTCTCCTTGGATTCTGATGGGATGGACTGTATTATTTCCTCTCCTTTTCTCTATCTATTGGTGTCCTTTTGCTCTAACTTTACTTCTTAGTACAGTCTGCTGGGAGAATTAACCTCACAGTGGGTCAGCCACCAAAATGCCCGCCATCTGTAAAGTTGACCTAAAACAGGGACCCCAGGTGTGACGCACAGGAGTGGTGGTGAGAGAGAGGACTTTGCTTCCTGACTCAAGCTGGGCAAATAATTGACTTTTCCAGCTTGGCCAGCAAACCGAAAAAATACTTGGCTTGGTTCTGAAACTCTTTGGAATTTGTGCACAAATCAGAAAAGTTTGTTTCAGGCTGGCAAACTGTGTGTGTATCTGTGTCTTTATAGCCTTCAGCCAAGTGGTTGGGGGTCGCGCCTGGGATGGGAGACCCAATTTTGGATCCTCGCTCTGGAGCAAGGATTTGAACTCCTATTTCCCTAGCTGAACATCTTAACCCCTATGCTATAGGCTATTCTAGTCTCAGTCTTCCCTACTAATGCTGTTCCACTTTGGTCTGAAGAATATTTAAGTATTTACACAGACAGAGAGAGTGACTCTATATGCTGGTGATTAAGGCACTCACCTGGGCTTAAGGGCCTCACCACTCAAATCCCTCCTCTGAATCAGGCAAAGATTTGAATCCACTTCTCCTACCTCCCAGGGTGTGAAAAGTGCTTGAATGATCAAGTAGAGCCTCATGCACTATCTGATTTCCTGTTGTTCTTGGGAGGATACAGCTCTAGCTCATTACATATCTCACCTTCTGCCAAAAGCAAAGATTTACATGCAGGATAGTGAGCATGTTGGCAACTGTGCCACTGCTGACATCATGATGCTGTCCCCTTTTCTTCTCTCTGGTACATTCCACTTCCACACCTGCATTCCTCTTCAGTGGTACTCAGGCCTGATGCCTCCTGGCTCCTTCACACCTGTCCAGAGCCCAGCTTCCTATCCACCAAATCCCACTGTGGTACGTGCTCTGCACTGTCTCCACCTCCGTTCCTGCTGCTCGCCTTGCTGGATTCAAGCCCAGAAGGAGCAATATGGGGCAGATGAGGCCAGCGAAGGGCAAGGTGATGGGGCCAGCTCTGGCTCCAGGCTCCTCCATGTACATCTAGAGCTGTACTGGAACCGGAATTTCCATTCCGCGGGAAGTTCGACAGTGTTGAAATTTGGTTTTGTTTGAAATCAGAACAAAAGCAAAGAATTTTTTGAAATTTCCCACTAAACAAAATTTAGGGGGAAAAAATAATTGGGGTCAGTCAAGGTATTTTGTTTTGATTTTGAATTTTTTTTAAATTTTTTTTATTATATCATCATTTTATACTATAATATTGAAATAAAATAAAGTTCTAAGTCAAAAGTCCTTTTGAAATGAAACATCAAAACTTTTTGTTGTGAGAAGTTTGACGTTATCAAAACGCTTGTTTTCAGTTTTTTTCCAAACACATTTTTGTCATAATCGACATGTTCCCGTGGAATGTTTCATTTTCAACAAATAGGCATTTTCTGATGGAAAAACATTTAACTGGAAAATTTTCGATGAACTCTAGCTACATCATCACAATATAAGATGATTCCCTTTTCTTGGATCCTCTGTTTGTTGCCACCACCTCTCCATCCATTGCCTACCATCTCCCTCATAGCCATCCCTTTCCCCCAGCCATACGTCTAGCTACTCTCCCGCATTTGACTGTTTTTAACCCATATAACCAAAAATGTGTGAAAACTGAATTCAGGCTGGTCCAATGACATTCTGTTGTGCTGCCACAAGGGGGCTCTTGGTTCAGGTCCTGAGCTCATCCTCTACTCCAGTGGCTGGAGGGTGCTGGGAACACTGGGTAAATTGTGTGGCTTAGCCCCATAGTGGGGAGAGCAGCTGGTGGCACATGATAGAAACCTCCCTCTCTCTGAGCTTGGAGTGGCAATGACATGTCCTGGAGAGAGTGGCCGCTAGGATGCTCAGAGGGAATACAAGTTAGCACAGTGAGGTTGGGGGCTGGTGGGGGAGAGGAAATAAAGGCCAAAGATCCCAGAAAATCCTAGCATCCTTAGTGATAACTTAGCCCCCTCACACTCCTATTCCCACTGAAGTCAATGGGCAGCACTCCCATTTTCTTCAGTCGGAGCAGGATTGCATCCTGAAAAAAACAAGGGCTGAGCAAAACAAAATCAGAATTGCCAACTCTCAAAATTCTATCACAACTCTTGTGATATGTGGTGTTTTCCTTAAAGCCCCAGCATCTGGAGTCACGTGATGTCGTAAGAATCTCAGGTTTCCTTTAAAACCAAGATAAGTCCATTTCTAACCCTCGTGGTTGTGGAGAAAAGCTTGAAAATGTGACGTGAGTGGTATCCTAAGGGGTCAGACACCAGAGAGTAAATAAAACAAGCCCCAAATGTGTTTGTTTTAATCTCATGAAATCAGCTTAAAAATCATGATTTTTGAGGTTTAATTTATTGTTTGAATGCATGAAATTGACAGTACTGCAGATTTTTTTCAGAGTAAAACGGTTTTCATTTTTCCATAAGGTGCCAGCAATTTTTTAACAGTGACACTTTTAAAAGGCCAGATCCTGCTGTTTGTAGACAGGATGAATTCCCTTTGATGTCAATGAGCGTTTGTCTGTGAAGGGACACAGGATCCTACCCTATGTGGCTTTTACTAGAAGTTAAACATTAGGGAAATATCTAACGGACCAAGGAGGGAAAGCATGGGTTGCTGTCGCATCCAAACTGAACAGGCCTAGGAAGCACTACATTCCTCATGGGAACGTCCTCTGGAATTTAATAGGGATTAAATCAAAATTATTCTAAAAATCTATAGATTTGAATAAAAATAATAACCTTTCTACAGGTTTCTTTGAACCATTCTAAGTGTTCCATAAGGGATTGCCCAGAATCGTATGTTTTTTTTACAGTAAGTACAAAACTTTGGGTTAAATTTTCAAGCATAAGATTTAACCTATCTTGAGCCGCAGTTGAAGAAAGCGTCCCTCTTCAGGAAGGCATATACTTGCGTCTGGTTATAGGTGCATACTTAAAGTTAAGCATGTGCTTTAGAGTTTTCCTCAGGAGAGATGATTTTAAGCTTATGTGTTCCTAAATCATAGGCACTAAACTACTGTACAAATGTCTGCCCTGACTGTAGATTTTAACCGAGCTGTGTTTACAGGGATATGCAACTGTGGTACCAGCTCAGAAGTGAAGAACTGGAAAACATGCAAGCTGCTTATTTTGGTTTTAAAGGCAGAAATAACAACAATAATAAACCCTTCGGGAATAAACCAGTATTTGATGATGGGACTAACCTGGCATATGACAATGAAGGCTTCTGCAGGTGAGATGATTAAAATGCAATACGCTATGTTTCTGAATGTGTTTGCCTGAGTAGATTTGAGAAGAAGGAGGATTAGTGAAAAGTTGTCTCAGAAGAAAAAAAACATTGTAAGTGTATTGTCTGGTTACAAGTAACACCAATCTGTAGCCAAACACGACAAGCTGGTCTGAGTTCATGGTGTTTGCAGTTTGTGTTCCAAGCTGTGTGTGCTCCATCCTGCAAGACGCTGGGCACGCCTCCGAGGTGCTGTGCATGCTGGGAGGGTGCTGCACGCCCATCGCTTGCATTATAATCAGTGGGAGCTGAGGGTGCTTGACACCTTGCAGGGTCAAACTCATAGACTTTAAGGTCAGAAGGGACCAATATGGTCATCTAGTCTGACCTCCCGCACGATGCAGGCCACAAAAGCTGACCCCCCCACTTTCCCTTAACTCTGCTGTTGAAGTCTCCAGATCGTGATCTAAAGACTTCAAGTTGCAGAGAATCTTCCAGCTTGCGACCCCTGCCCTATGCTGCGGAGGAAGGCGAAAAACCTCCAGGGCCACTGCCAATCTACCCTGGAGGAAAATTCCTTCCCGACCCCAAATATGGCGATCAGCAGAACCCCGAGCATACAGGCAAGATTCTCTAGCCAGACCCTCATTTTGCCAGCGATGGCCGTTATTGCCTAATTGACTAAAATCACGTTATCCCATCAAACCATTCCCTCCATAAATTTATCTAGCCTAATCTTGAAGCCAGAGAGGTCTTTCGCCCCCACCGTTTCCCTCGGAAGGCTGTTCCAAAATTTCACCCCTTGATCCTGTCAAGACCTAAAGGTTTCATGTTATTGGTTGTTTTCTGTGGGAATGAATAATGTCACAAAGACAAGATGTTGAGACAGTTTGAAAGCCAGCATGACCCTGAGCCCTTATAGCCGTTCTCTGTCCTGTCCTCAACGCTGTTGTGTTAGGCCTGGTCTATACACAACATTGCACCACGTTAATTAAAGGTGTGTATTTAAGCCCATTTTGTGAAACTGGTGCTGAGGCCTGTGTGGATGCACTTATTGGTTTAAAGCTGGCTTGAGCCTGCATCAATACCTTTCCAGGCACGAGCTCAGTCGATATAACCAGTTGGAAACTGGTATAAGCCTGTCCATACAGGGCTTGGCACTAGTTCAATGACATTGGTTTAAAAAACATACATTTAGTTAAACCAGGGCAAATTGTGTTCCTTATGGCTTCCTGGGCTTCGGGCCAGAGGAGACGCAGTCAACCACTGTATGTGGCATGCTCTCCTCAGGGCCGGCTCCAGGCACCAGCTTAACAAGCAGGTGCTTGGGGCGGCCAAGGGAGACGGGCGGCACCTGCGGCAATTCGGGGGCGGCAGGTCCCTCACTCCCTCTGGGAGCAAAGGACCTGCCGCTGAACTGCCGCCGCCGATCGCGGCTTTTTTTTTGTTCCTAATTGCCGCTGCCGATCGGGATCGCGGCTTTTTTTTTTTGCTTGGGGCTGGCCCTGGCTCTCCTCCCAGACTGTCCGTATTCCCGGCCGATGTGTGCGTCTCTGGGCAGCATTAAATGGTTTCTGGCAGGGCAGGGGAGGAGTCAAAGCTACATGTTGTTTAGTGGGTGTCAATCTGAGGGCCAGACTGCATTAGTACCACAAGTCAATAGAGCCAATAGAATACCACTCAGTGTGCATCTGCAACGTCACAACCTGTCCCTAAATAATGGTGCAAGCTCTTTGGGGCAGGGAATATCTTTTTATTGTACGTGTGCTTAGCACAGCGGGGCCCTGATCCTCTGGGGGCTACTTCAGTACAAACACTGTCAATAATTGTGAGTGAAATCCTGGCCACACTGAAGTCAATGGAAATTTTGCCATTGACATCAGTGAGGCAAGGATTTCACCCCATATGTCTAAGGGACCATACAGACTGTCACAAGGTCGACTACACGGGCTGAGGGATGGTGTAATTTACAATTTAAACTTAAACTCACCTCTGAATTTGTCCAGATGTGTTGCACTGATTTTACTGGTATAAACTAAAGAGCAGAGACACGTGAAGGAAAATGATAATACCATGTGTCAGATTCTAATCTCAGTTTCACTGGTGCCACCCACATAATTCTCTGTCTCATTTCACTGAACTGTTCTTTTGCTATCGCTTAGCACTAATATGCAATATACAGTAAATTACAGTTCCTGTTTACTGTTAATTCACTGCTCACTTTGCAGACTTTGCTTACAGCAATATCTATGATTTGTAATGGTTACCTGTAGAAAGCAATTTTATACAGCTTATAAAACACCTTCCATTCCACAGCTAGAAATTATTTTTAAGTGGTGCATTTAAACAAAAGTCTGATGGCTGTTTAATCAATTTTTAGATTTGGTGGGGTTTAGAAAGACTTCTAAAGCTAATTATAATGGTGACTATACTCTTAAACCAGCTCTTCAAAAGGATTAAGAACTAATTTGTAATTTTGAACAGCTACGTGTGCTGGAGTGTCAACACAGGGTAAAAACACAATCTGCTTTTAGGATGTTTAAAATAAAATGTATAATCCAGCAGTTCCTAAATATAAAGGTTATTGCTCCATTAGAGCTACCAGCACCTTAGAAATTCTTATCTAAGCCATTCTGTGGAGAAAAATCTTTCATTCTATTTACAAAATACTGCACCTCCTTCCTTAACTGAATGTAACAGGGAATATACAAGAAACGGGACATGCAAAGGTTCAAATAAACAGCTTTTATAAGGTCTGAAAATGTTTGTTAGTTCATTAAGAAAGTGGAGAGTTTATAAACTTTGCAGAAGAAAACGAAGAGCTGGGAGGGCTTATGAACTCTGCAACCTTTCCACATAGTAAACTTAATGTGCTGAAAACAAATATCCTACCTTTGGATGACAGAGTGCTGGTTAATCAGGATTCAGATAATCAAGTTTCCACTGTATTTCACCGATGCAGAGACAATGTGCATCCAGCATGTGTGGACTAGTTATTCAGATATAACAAAAAAATCAACTAGATTTCAACTGTATCAAAATCTCCAGGTTTGAGCTAAAAGTCTGGTTGTTGCAAATGACCACTCATGTTCAGAAAGGCTGTTTCTTCTAAATGGAACTGGAAAGCATTTGACTGAGTTTGGGCAGTTATGAACACTCAGCATGACCTTTTAACAATGCAAACCAAACAAACTTTTGTATAAGTACTTACAATGGTACATTTATATTCTCCGTTCCATAGAATGTTATTAAAGCTATAGATTTCTACAGTTTAATGCTAGTAAATGGATCTGTGTGCAGTGGAGGAGATGTGGGAATTGTCTGATGCATTATGTGGCAAATGAACCTTGAATATGACAAATGATATGCCAGCTTTATGTGTCACTTTGAAGGTTTATTTGTTGTATAATGGATTAGACAGAGTCACATCTTATTCATCATCCTAACCACAGCTTACTGTTAACAGCCAGGCAGTATCAAAGGATGGCTAGGTAAGTGCAAACGGAAGCTGGCTGATGTATTATAGGATGGGTGAACATTAAAGACCCCAAATGAGGTACTAGCTTTCCCCATTGTTTCCTTTCTATATATAATGCAAATATACACTTGGGCAGCTTTCATTTTGGGGTATTTCCTGCCAGTGCATCAGTCGCCATGGGCATTCAAGCCTTGTGCAGGAAATTGCTAAGCTCAGGGACAAAGTGACAGCAAATTCAACCAAAGTCACTATTACCTTTTTGGGATCATTGAAGTAATTGACTTTATTCCCTGATTAAACATCCTCTTATTGGCAAGATCTGGCCTTTGATTGTAAATCAGAATTTCCCATTGTTTCCAGTGAGGAATTATGCTTAAAAAACATGGCTCATTGTTTGGGTTTTCCCTGCTCTTGTTAATGACCAAGCCACACAACACATAGACCCTCAATGGATCACAAGTTGCATGAATTCCCCCCCCTCCTGCAGCATGTTTGTGTGTGTTTTTTTTATGTGAGATAACAAAGGGAAGTGGTTCCCTCTCGTAACTTAACCAGAGAAGCTGAGAGATGGGGCATGTGCTTATCTGAGGGAAGAGTAGTGGAGCCTTGGAGATTTATACAAGTTTTATGATAGAATTGACTTTCTTTGGAGAAAAGAATTCCTATCACAGCAGTTGCTCCTTTGCATGATACTTAAAGTATCATAGGGTATATCTACATAGCAGTTAAACACCACGGGCTGGCCCAGGTCAGCTGACTCAGGGCTCAGGCTGCAAAATTGCTGTGTAGACGTTTGGACTCAGGCAAGTGTCCCAGAGCCTGGGCTTCAGACTAAGCTCAAACATCTACACAGCTAGTTTTAGCCCTGCAGCCTGAATCAGCTGGGGTGGGCCAGCCACAGCTGTGCCAGGGGTCTTTTGTTCCAGTGTAGACACAGCCTTTGAGAGACAAGGCTGAGGTAACATGTTTTATTGGACCAACTTCTGTTGGTGTCTCTCTCACCAACAAAACATGTTACCTCGCCCACCTTCTCTCTCTAAACAGTGGGACCAACATGGGTCCAAGAGCACTGCAAACAACTAAAGTATCTGGGAGATAGAAAGCACCTTCTTTAAGACACCTCCCCTGCCTCTTGAATATATCTTTAGCCTATTTCTGACTGTCAAAAGCATTCTTACTGGACAATGGTGCAGTACACAGTTTTTTCTGTCTTAGTTGAAATTTCTTTGAAAGATTGTTTGTTCTATATTTAGATCTGGGAACAAAAATAGTTTAAGGAAAAAAAAGACGAAAACCCCACATTGCTATTTGACAGAACAGACATTTTTTAATGGCTCATGAAATAACTTTAAGCAAGTCAGCATCAAGCTTTTGTCAGAGTGATCCCACAATTTTCACCTATGCTTAGAATAGGAAATCAGTGTGACAACTGTGTAGTGTGGGTTGGCAGCTGTTGCCTTTAATGGTGACCGCTGTACATGGAAGGAGCCACATTCTGACCTTGGATACACGTGAACAAGTCACACGG